AGGTTGTGTCAGGTCAAGGAGGCGGAGATGAGAGGGAGGGCTGGACATGGGCTGAGGCCAGGGGTAGGGAGATTTTGAAGCTGGTGAGCTCTATGTTGAGGCCATTGGGCTGCAAGCTCCTGAGGCGGAATATAAGGTGTAATTCCTCCAATTTCCGTGTGGCCTCATTGTAACATTGGAGGAGGCCCAGGATGGACATGTTGTTAAGGAAGTTGAAATAGCTGGCAACCAGAAGGTGGTATTGTTTGGAATGTACAGAGTGCGGATGTTCCGCGAATCGGTCACCAAGCCTGTGCAAGGTCTCCCCGATGTAGAGGAGACCACATCGGGAGCAATGGATGCAGTAGACCAGGTTAGAAGATGTACAGGTGAATGCCTGTTGGACGCAGAAGTATTGTTTGGGGCCTTGGATAGAGGTGAGGGGGTAGGTGTAGGGGCAGGTGTAGCACTTCCTGCAGTTGCAGGGAAAAGTGCTGGGGGTGGTGGGGTTGGTGGGGTATGTGGAGCGGACGAGGGAGTCGCAGAGAGTGGTCCCTACGGAAAGCAGATAGGGGTGGGGAGGGAAATATCTCTTTGGTGGGGTCTGAATGTAGGTGGTCAAAACATTGGAGGATGATGCGTTGTATTCAGAGGTTGGTGGGGTGGAATGTGAGGACCAGAGGGGACTCTATCCTTGTTGTTGTTGGGGGGAGAGGGTTAGAGGGCGGAAGTGCGGGAAATGCAGGAGATGCAGTTGAGGGTATTATGGATCATGGGAGAGGAGAAGTTACGGTCCTTGAAGTAGGAGGACATCTGGGATGTCCGGGAGTGGAACGCTCCATCTTGGGAACAGATGCGGCAGTGGCGGAGGAATTGGGAGTATATTGCATTTTTGCAAGATGGTGGGTGAAAGGAGGTGTAGTCTAGGTAGCTGTGGGAGTCGGTGGGTTTGAAATAGATGTAGGTACTGAGTCGGTTGCTGGAGATGGAGACGGAGAGGACCAGGAAGAGGAGGGAGGTTGTCTGAGATGGTCCAAGTGAATTTGACGTCAGGGTGAAAGGTGTTGGTGAACTGGATGAACTGTTCGAGCTCCTCACGAGAGCACAGGGAAGCACCGATACAGTCATCAATGTAACGGAGGAAAAGGTGAGGGATGGTGCCAGTGTAACTACAGAAGACCCCAACCCTGGGCTTCAAGTTTCACAGAATTATGTTGAACTGACTTCCCCACATTGTTATTACAGCCTCTGCATAATAATATGGCAAAAGAAATTTTTATTTGAGTCTCTGCAGACACTTTGCAAATATGAGGAGAAAACATGAGATATACATTATAACAAATCCCTATTTAAATGTGACTTATTTAAATGGAGTGGTATGGTGTTTAGCACTGCTGCCTCACAGCACGAGGACACAGGTTCAATTCCAGTCTCGGGCGACTGTCTGTGTGGAGTTTGAACATTCTCCCCGCGTCTGCATGGGTTTCATCTGGGGCTCTGGTTTCCTCCCACAATCCAAAGATGTGCAGGTTAGGGTGGATTGGCCATGCTAAATTACCCATAGTGTCCAGGAATGTGCAGGTGAGGTGTATTAACCACAGGAAATGCAGGGTTACAGGGCTAGGCTAGGGTAGGGATATGGTCTGTGCGGGATGCTCTTTGGAGGGTCAGTGTGGACTTGATGGGCCGAATGGCCTGCTTTTATAACATTATTTTGTTTCAACATTTTCAAAGATGTAGTGATAATATATTTATTTAATGTTGTTTCACTTAAACATTGTTTTCTATGGATGTCCTGTTCTGTGACCAGCTAGCTCTGAAGATCTTTCTAACCACGTTCAGTCCTGGAATGCCCCCAACCTTCCTGCAGTTTCTGCTCCTATTGTCAGTCCCTCTCCTTGCCTCACACAATTCAGCACCCATTGCTATACTCTGTTGTTACTTTTAAACTCTCCCCTGTGTTCATTTCTCTCCTGGCTCCTGTTCTGAACTTGCATTGAAGCGTAAGGCTCTGTCTAGTGGCCTGTAATCATTGGTACATGTAATTCTGCCATCACTGCCTAGCATCTGCCATTAAATTGAGTGTGGTTTAGTTAAAACATCATCAGGTGAGTGTAATTTTAATATGTTACATTTATATTGTATTTTGGGGCTCCTGTAGTGCAATGACAGTTTCCCAACCTCTGAGCCAGGAGACCAGGGTTCAAGTTCAAAATTTACTAGATAATACCAGCAATGAGGGATTTTATATGCAAGGAAAGATTTGAGAAATTGTGCTTTATACCCCTTGGAACAGAGAAGATTAAGAGGTGACCTTATTGAGATTTTCAATATATGAACAATTTTGACAGAGTAAAGAAGGATATTCTATTTCCACTAGTTGATATGTCACTAATGAATGGTCATAATTTCAGGATTGTCAGCTGGAGAGCTCGGAGGAGAAACTTCTTTACTCAAAGAGCCATTAGAATTTGGAATGTGCTGCCTGGGAGAATGGTGGAGGCAGATTCCACAGGAGGTTTCAAAAGAGAGCTGGATATATACTTAAAGGGATGAAGTTAGATGGCTACAGAGGTAGGGCTGGTGAGTGGAACTAGCTAGGTAGATGTGTCAGGAGCTACTATATGACATGATGGGTTGAATGGCCTCCTTCTGTACTGCAAAATTCTCATCCCCACCTTCTCCAGAGGTGTGTAATAAAATCTCTGAACAGGTTGGTTTGAAAATATTTTTGTATTATATGACGGGGGCTCCTGTAGTACACTGATAGTGTCCCAACCTCTGAACCAGGAGGCCTTGGTTCACATCCCACTTACTACAGAGATATGATCACATCTCTCAAAGTGTTGATTACAAAATCGTTATTTTGCATTTCTTCTATGCTTGAAATTTATTTTTAAAGTTTATTTATGAACATAAGCATCAATTCCAACTTGATGATGTTGTAAAGTTGTTATCTGCTGGGAAAGTTCCTGAAGTGCTTAATTTTACAATGTTCCTTTCATATTTAATGCTCTATTTTGTCCTGCAAATTATTTCAGCTCGGGATACACAGTACTGCACATGTACGGTACAGGATTTAGACGTGTGCATTCTTTACTCTGAGCAAGCAGTATCCAAAGGAACCTTTTATCATTGATTTCTGTGGGAACTTATTGTTCACATAATCTGATTTACTTAAAGTTATGATTTTCAGGAACACAATCACAACTGTAAGTGAAGACCTATTGTCTGTCAGGGCAAATGTTTTGAGTGCAATTTGACTCTTCTTTTGGTTTTGAAGATAAATCATATTGAACTTGAAACATTAACTCTGTTTCTCTCTCCAGAGATGCTGCCAGACCTGCTGACTTTCTCCAGCATTCTCTGTTTCAGATTTCCAGCATCTGCAGTATTTGTTTTAATGTACACGTTATCATTTCATGAACTGCTATGGAGCATTCTTCTTTTCTCCAATTTTACTGTTTTTTAGCTGCTCTTTATTTTCAATTTCCTCCTCCCCTTTCTGAAGATGTTAACCTCCTGCTGCTTCCACATGCAGCAATCACATCCTTTGTTTTCAGTCTTAATCTAATGAATTAGGCAAGAACAATATATTGCTATTACATTATATTCTATTCTAATGAAGAATGAGTGTATCTGACTGTGAAGGATTGCTGTCCAATCTTGTCTGGCTCTGACATTCCTCCCTCTCTGAATTTATCTCTGTCCCATTCCCTGTCTCTATCTGAATCATTCTTTGTCCCACTCCCCCTCTCTTTCTGAATCCGTCTTTGTCCCATTCCCTCCCTCTCTCTGAATCTGTCTTTGTCTTGTTCACTCTATCTCTGTCTCTGGATCTCTCTTTTGTGCTCTCTTGAGCGTTGTGTTTCTCTGTCTCTTATTCTCACTTTCCTTGTCTCTCTCTCTTTCTCTTGCACTTCCTCTCACTCAGCCTTCGTCTCTCTCTCTCTCCCTCTAACTAGATCTTATGCTCTGTTTCTTTCTGTCTGTCTCACTGATCCTCTACCTTGTTGTTTCACCTTGTTTTCTTTCCCTTTCTCTTCATTCCTTTTGCTCTCTTCCTTTCTCACTCTTTCTCAATTGAGCTAAATCTTGTTCTGTCTGTCTTACTCATACTCTCACTCATCCTTTCCAACTCTTAGTTTCACTTTCTCTCCCACTTGCTGTTTCTCTTACTTTCCTTTTCTCCCACTTTCACTCTTGCCTTCATTTTCCCTTTTTCCCACTCTCACTCTTTCCCCCACTGTCTGTCTACATTTTACTCATACGCACTGTCAATACCAAAAGAATGCTACACTGTTGGTAAATCCATTAAAGTTTCACAGTAGAGTCACCACTTTCTTTAACACAGGCGGGGTTTCAAGGTTAGGTATTTTGGGAACAAAAACAGAAGTTGCTGGAAAAGCTCAGCAGCTCTAGCAGCATCTGAGGAGAGAAATCAGAGTTAACGTTTCGGGTCCAGTGAACCTTCCCCAGAATGATATTTCATGTACTGGAAGGACTCCAAAACAAGAGAATGCCATTTTAAAATTACAACTGGGCCATTCTGGGATGACGTGAAGAAATATTTATTCACACAAATAGTATTAGGAACCTGGATCTCTCTCCCCACAAAAAACTATAGATGCTAGAAGTCACTGAAATTTACAAGACCAAAATCAGCTTTTTTTTCAGCTGAGGGTGTTGAGGAATATGTAGCAAAGGCAGATGAATGGAGTTAGGGTGAAAATCAGATCTAATGTAATAGAATGGCGTAACAGGTTAAGGAGCTGAATGGCTTGCGGTGTTTACTTATGGGTGAATATTCACTGGAGGAACTAGTTTTCCTGCTCTAAGGATTTACAATTTTTCAACAACTGTTTATCCTTGTTTATTAAACTGTTTATTTACCTAGCAAGACCAGGTAAACTGAAGGGCAAGAATAACTGAGCTACCTCAGAAAAGTTACTCGTAAAAAAGATAAGGAGGAATTTTACGAACCTTTCAATGACCAACTTATTGTCTTACATTTTGCTCAGGATGAATTGGTGGAATCTGAGAAAAGCAGGAAGCAGTTGAGTGAAGAGCTGCAGAAAGTCAAACAGGTGAGGAATTACATCCCCAGTATATATTGAGAATGTAATATGGCTGTTTATTAGGTAACCTATGGGGGCAGTATGCATTGCCCCACCAGGCCATGTATACATTGGTTAGATGCTGTGTCAATGACTAGGGCTTTCTGGTTTTACACTCACTACTCCATTAGTGTTCCTCAGCCTATGCATTTCAATTTATTTTTACTGCAGTATATTCTGGAGAGATTGTGGTTTTGTCATTTCAAATGATGATACGTTAATTGGAGTGAACAGCTTGGGACCTTAGAATCTTGTGGTCCATTATGTCTGTGCCAGCTCTTTGAAGGATATATCCAATTTGTCCCACTTCCCTGCTCTCTCTCCTGAACATTTCACCTTTTCAAAGTATAGATTGGATATTCTACTGAGGGAGAACTTAGCAAATTGAATTTGTCCCGGTTGTACTGTTCTCCAGATCCTATGGCATTGAGAGACACCCTATCAAAACTCCTGAAATTGATGCAGTGCTGCACTGTCAGTGATATTGCAGACTGTGAGGATTATACACCATCTATACAGTTCAGTATTATTAGGGGAGGTGATGGCCTCGTGGTATTACTGCTATACTTTTAATCCAAAGTACCAGGTAATGTTCTAGGGACCTGGATGCAAATCCAGCTATGGCAGATAGTGGAAATTGAATTCAGTAATAAATTGGAATTAAGAATCTAATGATGACCCTGAAATGTTGTTGATTGTTGGAAAAACCCATCTGGTTCACAGATGTTTTTTAGGAAGGAAGGTGCCGTCCTTATCTGATCTGGCCTACATGTGACTCCAGACCCACAGAAATGTGGTTATCTTTTAGCTGCCTGATGGGAAATTAAGAATGGGCAACAAATGCTGACCCAACCAGTGACCTGTGAATGAATAAAGAAAATCAATAGGTTTTATACAGACAGGCATATTTCTAGATGGAGTGGTGGGGGAGAAGGTTAAGTGTTGCAAACATAATGAAACAAGAGGTCTTGCTAGGTACAAGATATGGATAAACATGAGTTATAGGTGTGCTTCAGTGGGTAAGAGAGAACCTGGGCCTCTGGTTGAAATTGCTGCAGTTTCTGCCAGGACAGTACTGGAGACACATCCTGCCAAATCTTCAAAGGAGCAGTTACAGGGAATGTTTTTGAGATGCTTGTTGCTGAGCCACATTAGTAATACACAGCTTTCTCAGCCATGTAATGGCAGATATCTGCTGTGCACTGCCACAGTATAAGAACAGAGACCTCCTATTAGTTTTGTATCATGTAACTGTTCCTGCTGCTTTGGGGTCCATGCTCTGGTTGGCAACCCTGGACTTCCACGGGATGTATGTTGGTCCATGATTCTGCTTGGCACAATACTGCAGAGGATTATCATTGCCTTCAGAAGGAGGGCTGACCGGGACATGCTCCCACTCTTATTGCCTGCCATCAGGTGTATTGCAAGGGTTTACAGGTTGAGAGTCTCTTATCTTCTGTGGCTCCAAGAGGGACTTGAACCTAGGATTCTGGCCAGTGTTAGAGACATTATCCACTGCAACACAAGACCTCCTCTAGGTACTGTTAATTATTTATAAAAGGAAAGATTGGCATTTCTGTAGCACCTCTACATCAGAAAGTCTGAAATATGTTGCAGCCAATGAAATACTTTTGCTATGAACGCTGGTGTTTAATGTAAAAAACACAGCAGCAAATTGGTGCAGAGCAAGCTCCCACAAACAGCAAGGTGTGAATTACAGAATAAATTTTAAAAGAGATTCTAGTTGAGGAACAACTAGAAGTCAGGACGCTAGAGAAACGGCCCTGTACCTTTTTGGAATGGTGGCGATGGGATCTTTTACATCTACCCGAGAGGGTGAATAGTGCTTTAACAATGCATTCTGCACAGATGATAATTTTAATTGGGCTCTATGTTTTCCCCAGAGGAGGAGGAGCTCTTCATAGAATCAGGTGGAATATAAATGCTGAACCAGACCAACCAGCTAGCAGGTGTGCTCCACACGAACCTCCTCCCTCCCTTTTCATATCACCCTAACAGAATATCAACTGTTCTCTTCAATAAACAGGCTTTTTAAATCTTATACAGATTAACACTTGTGTTAAAATAGCACAGGGATGCATTAGGCAAAATGCATTAACCATTGTGCTGTCTGCACATGTGGATTGAATCAATCTGGGACTGGATTGTGCCAAGTACTCAGACCTGGTGGAGAGAAGGTTACCAGCAGTGAATTATAATTTTGATTCTTTTCTTAACATCTTTTGTTTTAAAGGAATGCACCCAATTAAAGATTCCAAACCAAATCACTACTGGTCAAAATCAGTACCATTTGGACTTTTTTTTTCAAAGATTCTATTGATATTTAGAATTTTTGAAAATTTCAGCACAAGTGGTCAAGCATTCATGTCCAAGGAGAGAGTTGTGCTCTGTTATCATGGATACTTTACCCTTAAACATCCCCATCTTCCCAGATAACATGGTTGCTGGCTCCTTTCGATATTACAGCTGTTTGAACTGTTACCAGTAGTTTTATTCCTCTCCTCACTTGCTATCACGTACACATTGTACAGTCTCTGCAACATAGTGTTATTGTGACACTCCATGTATAATATGCAACATGTGCGCTATTCTGTAAGAAACATACTCACTCCTGTCTAAATAAAATCCTATATATAGAGGACTCCTACCTATGTGAAATCACACATGTAACTATCATCTATATAAAATCCTATATATAACACACTCCAATCAATAGAAAATCCTGTGAAAACACACTCCCGCCAATATAAAATCTCATGTGCATTACACTTTTCACTTTTGCATCATTTGTATAACACAGTTCAGCATTACCTTGCCAATAATCCAAACTATGTACATGAAATGCAGGACAATTTTTTGCACTATGTTTCTTGCGGCTATTGGTGTTTAATTTCTTTGTCGCGTGTATAGTACATGGGAATTTCGTGCTTGCAAGGTCAGTAGCTTCACTGCAAGAGAATGTTCACAAGCATAAAAGCCTCACAGTTGTTGGCAGAATAAACAGGCAAAACTGAATCCCTGCGGGGACAAGGCTGTTTTTTTCATGTTCACATAGCTGAAGCATGTGAATTGATAGTAAAACAAAGCAGATGTGCACTTGGGGCTGTTGTTAGGGCCATTATTAAAGAACTTCAACTGTAAAACATTATTTAGAAATAATTAGAGTCCATAAAAAGGCAATGTATAAATGTAGGTGTTGCTGGTATTGACTCTGCTGACTGGATCAGGAGATTTATTGTGCTACACTTGTCCGTTAATACATTAGGAATGCAAACTGGAATTTCCTCTCATCGGAATAGCAGCAAGCGTGTGAAGCAGCTTCCTGTTGTTCGGTTTCTGAGTTTCTGGTTTTTTTGCAGGATGCCTTCGGGGAACAGCCCCTGCATTTGTTCCACTAGAGGCTGGAATGCTGCCCTGAACTGCCACGCACCGCGATGTCACTTTCATCTCTGACTGAGAACTGGCCAGTGACTTTACAGATAAGGCCATTCAGCCCAACAGGTCCATGTGTCACACAAACCTCTGCTCACCAACCTTCAGCTAACTGACCAACGTAACCTTTTCTTTCTTTCTCCCTCTTGCAGCAATACCTCTGACTATGACTCTAAGTTGCCCTTCCTAAGCACTCCATGATAAAAATATTTCTCCTCCATTTCCTATTGGATTTATTATTAATGGTGACCTCTATTTCCGAGATTGTGATTGTGAAACAGAAACATGTTCCCTTTGTCCACCTTGTTGAAGCTCTCCATAAGTTTTGATGGTCAGGTCACATCTTCAGCCATTTCTGCTCAGCCTTTCCTGAGGAAGAACTTCACAGTTTGTGTATCTAGATCTCTGCTACACCCCATTGCCAGATGCACAGAAGATCTTAAAATGATGAAGATTACGCAGTACAAAATTATCAGCAGTTTTAAGCCAGCACAAATTACACTAGTTGTTTGCTTTCCAGAATCAGTAATTGGGATAGGTCCCTGAACATACTGAAATTGCTCAAATACTGGATGATAACCACAGGTCCTGGGGTCAGGTTTCATCCTTCAAACAACATCACTAAAACAGATTAACTGGTCATTATCATATTGCTGTTGTGGGAGCTTCTTGCGCTTCTCACATTACTGCAGCAACTGCACTTTGTTGACTAAAAAGCACTTTGGAATGTCCTAATTTCATGAAAGATGTTGAGTAAATTCAAATTTCACTATTTTTCTTTCCTCCAGAAGTTGTTGCTTTATTCCTGACTGGTTTCTACAGTAGTCGATTCCTACAGTAGTCCCCAGCTTCCCCCACTGGTCCCCAGCTTCCCCCATTGGTCCCCAGCTTCCCCCATTGGTCCCCAGCTTTTCCCATTGGTACCCAACTTCCCCCATTGGTCCCCAGCTTCTCTCATTGGTCACCAGCTTCTCCCACTGGTCCCCGGCTTCTCTCATTGGCCACCAGCTTCTCCCACTGGTCCCCGTCTTCTCACATTGGTCACCAGCTTCTCCCACTGGTCCCCGCCTTCTCTCATTAGTTCTTGGCTTCTCTCATTGGTTCCTGGCTTCTCTCATTGGTTCCCAGCTTCTCCTGTTGGTCCCCGACTTCTCCCACAGGGCCCCGTCCTCTCCATTGGTCCTCGTCCTCTCCCATTGGGCCCTAACTTCTCTCATTGGTTCCCAACTTCTCCCAGTGGTCCCTGACTTCTCCCACTGGGCCCCGTCCACTCCCACAGGGCCCCGTCCTCTCCATTGGGCCCTAACATCTCCCACTGGGGCCTAACCTCTCCCATTGGCTTCCAGTTTCTCCCGGTAGTCCCCAGCTTCTCCCATTGGGCCCTGTCCTCTCCCACTGGGCCTCGTCCTCTCCCATTGGGCCCTAACGTCTCCCATTGGTTCCAGACTTCTCTCACTGATCTCCACCTTCTCCCATTGGTCACTGGCCTCTCTCCTTGGGACTCAGATTTTCTCATT